TGTATGTGTGTGTGGGTACTGTTTATTCTATTTGAACGAGATACGTTCCTGGAATTGTTGTTACGAAACAATATGGTTATATACAACGTTGATGCTGTTGTTGTTGTTTTTGTATAAATTGCTGCGTTTTACGTAACCAAACCAACTCACTCACTGCTGTTGTCGTTGTTGTTTGTGTTGTCATTTTGACTCAATATGAGAACGATGATAGTAATTTGAATGTCAAATTATTGATGATCATGAAAGGTTGGTTGTTGGTATTAGTCGGTTAGTTGGTTGGCTGGCTAGTTGACTTGTTAGTTTGCTGTTTGATCATGGACATGATTTTTTTGGTTTTATATTTTATTTTTGTGTGTTCTTTATCTTATGTTTATCAAAGCAAATTAATAAAAAAAAATTATTGTTCAATCTAATTTGAGGGGGTGTATTTGTCTATGCAAATAACAAATAGCATTTATTTATATCGCTTTCTAAAATTATTTATATTCTAAAAATAATTATGAGAAATACAGGGTGCTCCATTAACATAAAATCCGACGAAAATAAATATGTGAGATATATCGAAAATCTGAACCGATTTTCACGAAACGTAACATTTCAGAACGCTCTGCAAAATTTCGTGCAAATCGAAATATATATAGGGGCTATGGTACACTATTTACATAAAATCGGACGACCATATATATGGGAGCTATATCTGTATCTGAACCGAACATCATTCTAGACTCAGTTCAGGACGCTCTGCCAAATTTCGTGCAAATCGAATGAAATATAGGGGCTTTGGTGCACCATTAATATAAAATCGGACGGCAATATATTTGAGAACTATATCTAAATCTAAACCGATTTTCACGAAACATATATATGTGTTATGTCAAATTTTGCAAAACAGGAAATATAGGGGCTTTAATGTAAATCGGACAAATATTTATATATAAGCTTTATCCAAATCTAAACCGATTTTCACGAAACTTAATTTAAAATTTCGTAAAAATGTAAATATATATATAGGTATTTTGTTTTTGCAAAACAGTCAGGTTGAATCCCAGTATGTTGTTTTTATAAAAAACAACTATTTATTAGTGGGGAATGTATGACATTGTTCGCCGAGGGGTAAGGTAGGCGCAGGCACGGTCAAACTGTTTGGTTTATTGCTTTACAATTTAACATAGACAGACGGACGGACATGCATAATTTGACTCAGAAAGTGATTCGAGAACATGCATAGATATTCTCAAAAGAACTATGTGTCTAACACGTTTCGTTTTGCCTCTTACAAACATACATACCCTGTACCATAGTATGGTACAGTGTATTATGTTTTTGTACATAAGTTAAAACTATACGGCATTTAACGATCGAGCCTAACTTATTATACCTCCACCTTGTGGTGTGCATTCAAAATATATTAAATCGGTTGGGGCCTTTATATGGGGATTATGTTATTGCATTAAAATGTATTAGGTTGCTCATGCTCTGAAAAAATAATGTTCCGAAGTAGAGACACTCAAATTGGACCTATATAGAAAATTGTCGGCAAAAATGTGTTTTACCTTTCAATGTACTGGAATGCCAAATTACAACCATTTCAATGGGCAAATTAGTCTAGAGCCTTCAAAATACATATGGGTCGGAACTTATAATTATATTCTATATATTATCAAAACGTTCAATTTCTTAAATATTGCGAGTTCTATCGTGACTTCAACACACGTACAGGCTCAATTGACATAGAATTGCATTCAGATCCGGTGGATATTTCGATGGTTTAACAGGACGAGCTGTACATTTTTTATCATCTTCAAGTCTCTGTAAACGACACACACATGATCGTACATTAAACCGTAATGAATATGTGAATGCTAAAATATATCACATGGCGCAGGGCCACATTTAGTGTCGCCAGTCAGAAATATAGTCGACTCCGAATGAAACCAAAATATTTGTTGTTGTCTTTGTGTAACAAACAACTGCAGAAAAACTTAAAAAAAATCCTCTCAATAAACAACTCCAATCCAAATCCCAAAAATTAATTAATAAATCTGTCCATACACACAACATAATATTTCGGTCAGATTTCTATCGGAAAACTGTATATCTTATCTCCCATTGCTACTACTTTGGATTTAGAATTGAAATGTTGATCTTCCACAAGGTGATAAAGGTTCTATAATTAAATATTTTTCATTTTCAAAAAACAACATAAATAATAATATCATAAATTAAAAAAAAAACTTAATCGTATCAGAAAAGAAAAAATTCCGTTATTGAAAGAGTGTATCTCGTATGGAAAATTGCCTTTTTTTGTCTACAAACTATGTTAAACAAGTGAAAAAGCGTTAACTTCGGCCGGGCCGAACTTTGCATAACCTCCATCATAGGTATACTGACAGATACTTTAAATGAAAATATAGGGAACATACCAAAAAGTGAACCGATTATTCTACAAACCATTATGTACACCAAATACAAATTTCAGCAATTTTTAATGGGGATTTTTCCTAAAACCCTAAAGCGTAGACTGATACTAATAACGTATGGTAGAGTATACAATCCTCAAACTACTGTAATTTAGATTGTAGTTATGAGTTATATGCGGCTATGCATAAAGGGAGGCCAATATTGATTACATAGTGTAGGAGTTAGGGAATTTTTGGTGTTATCATTATATGAGGGCTATGCCTAATTAATTACCGATATATGTCAATTTTGAACCCAACATTCTAGTCTCAATTTCTGCCTTCATGAGGTATCATTATATGGAGAAGATGCTTAAATGCCTGCCGATATATTTCATTGTCGTCAGGTTCGAGTTTTTATCACGATAAACTCTGTTTATTCCGAGTAACGACTATCTCCCATACTATGGCGGAATACGCCTACATGGGAAGAACCCCAACACACGGAACAAATCAGCTTACTATTTTAATATAAAAAGGGGTTTATATGGGGACTACCCCTAAAAGGGGTTGAACACCAGTTTTTATAAAAGTTAGTACTAAATGTGTTTATGTGATATGTTATATAAAGTTTTTGGACAACAACTTATCATTCTGTAGTTTTGGAATCGATGATAAAACCTTTCGTTGATAGAATATTCTTTGTATGGGCGCATGTCTTGACATATGAATATGAGGGTTCAATATGCTCCTCATAAAAGTTAATATAAATAATTTGTGTCTCCAAATTCATTTGGGCGCCAATTTCGATTTTGAATACCGTGCGAATAATATTTCAGCTATGTCAGTATGTCACCATACCACAAATTAGTATATACACATAATAATAATAAAACGGAAACATTCACTTGTGAATTATATAAATAATAATTTGATTTCATCCATCTGGCTGGCACTTAATTGCCCTCCTAACCCCGCTGTGCCGTAAATGAGATCTCAGATAATGGGTGTTAAATAACAGCCACAACAACACACATCCCAACACAAGTCAAACGTCAAAACGCACTTTTATCATCATTTAGTTGTCAATGTGCGACAGACTCTGCCTCCAACTACCAACTATAACTGTCTCCGGATATGACGGCGAACAATTCGGTCTGATGGTGTCAAAACAAACAAGAGCGGTGTTTTTTGGGAGGGAGATAAACCAAACAAATCGTGAAGAAAGACAAGTCCAAAAAAATGTGTCAGAGATAAAAAGGCAAACAATAACATTAACACCATTGAAGAATGAAAACAACGACCCGAATATGTTCTCACTCGTCAAACAGAGGGCACTTGTGTGTGGGATAGAGTCTCTCTCTCTAGCGGAAACATGAGAGATACAATGCGGAGCGGAAAACATGAGAGATACAATGTATTTATTTGTTTACAAGTCATAAATGAAAATTTAACAGTAAAGAGCCGACATGTTCGGTTTTGTTTTCTTCTGTATATGTGGATACTCTCTGCATCTTTGTTGAGGCAACAGAAATTACTGTTCTCCTAACCTAAAATGTGTGCTCTAACGTTGTTAGTTAATCGACTCTCTCTCCATCTCACTGTAATCTCTCTTAATAAATGTTTGTTGGCCTAGTTGTTAGAGCCGCCACATTTGTGGGCGGCACATGGGGCTAGCTTGATGTGCTGAAACAATTTCAAGCTGAAACAATTTCAAGCAGAATCATGCAAACCACCACATGTGTGCTCTCTTTGAGAGCAATTTCTGTGTGAAAAAAAAACACAAAAGAATGCCTCTCTGAATTTCTTTGATTTCAAGAGATCCATTCCGTTACGAACAGAACATTTTCGCTCTCGATTGGGGGCTATCATTTTCTCTCTCTCTCTCCGTCTCTCTGTGTTTATTATTGTGTTGTTGCATTCAAATTTTATAACACCAAATTGCTCTTTTTTAGGTGTTACGGCTTCGTATTTGACAGAATGTTACGTAAAGCCTATTTCATTAGAGTGGGAAATAAACGTGTATATATATGTAGGGTTGTGTGTGCATGAGCTTGACATGGCCTATGTGATTGTTGTTGTTTTCATTTTATTTAACATTTTCCAAACTTTTTTTCTTTGCTTTCAGATAATCATTACCAAAAACCACACAATAAACAAATAACAGAGCACCAATACCACAACCACAGCGCAAATCAACACAACGGCAGTGAGCAGCGAACAGCTACAGCAGCTAAACGGAACGGAGACGATTTTGTCTGAACGCAGTCGTGTTACGTATGCGAAAGGGAATGGTTACATCAAACGTTGAAAAAATATTTTTTAATAAAAAATAGCGGAATAAAACAAAAAATAACATGAAAAATATTTAAGATATTATATGTGTGTAAATAAAATATTAAACAAAAAATAATAACAAAAATAAAATAAAAAAATCTAGAAAATAAAATAAAAAGAAATATGCAACATAATTTTGTATTACTAATAATGTCTATAAATAACAAGTGAAGTGTTTATGAAGAAAGAAAAAAAATCAAATAAATTACGTTAGAATTTTCATGATTGTGAAACAAATCTTCGTAATTGAAAATTGTGGAAAAAAAGAAAAAATAAATTAATCGGAAATAATTGCCGATATTCTATAATGTCTAAAAGTGCCACTGAGCAATTTCAAATAAAAAAGAAAAGAAAACATCCATTAAACGGTACATCCGTTGTTATTTCAAGCACTGCATCGCCAGTTAATCAAGATATTGAAATCACTAATAATAATAACAATAGACTATTACCTATCTTCACACGTTACGTCAACGGTATCACATCGGACGCCATCATCAAAGAGAATTTCCCAGAATTCCAAATTGATGATAAGTTCTTGAATCATTCGTCGTTATATTTCAAACCGATTACAGCTGCCGACGAAACTGCGGATATCTATTTAGATTCTGACTGCATAGCTGCAGTGGCGGCGTCAGACAAAGCGCACGCTGTTGCCACACCTCCTCAGAACAATCTCAATAACAACAACAACAGCAGCAGCATTCGAGCAGCACCAACAGCAGCTGTATCGTTGTCCACAAACTGTTTACGTGACAGCGTGCAGGCACAATCATTGCTACGAGGAAAATCTTTCAGATCCAATACAGCCAACAACACAATGCCACTGCAACACGGTTTCTATGCCAAAGGAGCTTCGGCTAGCAAAAGAGCCTTGAAATCAGCGAAAGTGCAATCAAATTCTCCATCAGGCCTGAACAAACAGCCAACAACGGGGGACGCTGCTAAGCGACCACGACATTCTCTAGGCTATAACTCAGCCATTGAGGACAATCTCAAGATACGTTCCCAATCTCTAATGGCAGGACCAAATGGTGACAAGTTGCAGTTCTCATATCTTGTGGGAGAGTCCTTGGCCCGTCATGGTCGCTTGCAGGAGGCTTTCGACATTTATGCCCTTATTGCCAGTGAACAGCCCAAGGGGTTTATACCCCTGGAAAAACTCAATATATTGGCTACAGCCTTATTGGAGTACATACGAATGCTAAGCAGCAGTTCGAAAAAGCCCGTTGAAAACACAGAGAAAATGACAAAACCTCTTGACGATATGCAACAATTGACCAATATATCCACTACAACCTCTTCGGCTTCCGGTTCATCAAACCTAGCCACACAATGGCAGCTGATGGCTGGTGCATTTAACCCACATCTGGCACACTCCAATTCGATATCGGATACCCCAACATTAATTCCTAACGGCAATTTAGATTTACACAATCCTTCGCGAGAGCTAGCACGCAATAAAACCCCTACTCTACTAGACGATTTAGATCCCCTACTGTGTCCACTGTGCCGCGATATCTTACGTTGTCCGGTTACCGCGAATTGTGGCCACACTTTTTGTCGTCAGTGTTGTGATACAATCACGATGTGTAATATTTGCCATATTAAATTCCCGCGTTTACATAAAGAAGAGCCCATAACGGAGACATTGAATTTGGTCAGCCTATCGACAGCTACCAGTACAACAACCAGCAGTAGTAGTCGAACAATGAGCAGCAGTTTAACTCCGAGTGTACAAAATTTCTCCGGTTCTCAGGCGCAATCGAATGTCTCATTTAGTGCAACAGGTGGGGTGTCGTATAGTTCTGAAAGTCCATTTGGTTCCATGAGCACCGATGATATGCCACGATTACGTATGGTCACGTCTCCAATGCCGCCCACATTGGCAGGATCGCCAACAACGGTGACCACCACCACGGTGGCATGCACTACCGATACGGCTACAACCACAATGGCTGCAACATCTTCGTCAACGCTAAGTACAGGATCGCGTGGCGGTTCCAGTTCCAGTGATAGCATGAAATTTATGCCCGATGTTTTGGTGCGACGTTTAGTTGAGAAATGGTGGGGTCCCGATTTGCAAGCAAGAAAAATTCTTGAGACAGCAACAAGTTATATGCATTTAAATCTGCTCGACGATGCATTGAAATTTTGTAACGTCAGTTTAGAAAAAGGTAAGGCTTTAGAAATATCGACGAATTATGAACGATTCGGAAAACAAATTTTTGAGTTATCCTAATCACTAAACAATACGTTAGGCAAAATTATTGCGATGGAGATGGGAGTAGATAAACAAGTGAAATTAAGATATAAAATAATGGTAAAATAAAAATTCGAAAAAAAATGTTTGAATATCCTAATCAATAGACAATACGGAATATTATATTATGGTGATGGATATCAGAGAATAAATATTAGTAAAATTTGGTTGTTTGGAGATGATTATATTCAATTATATTCAAGAGATGATTATATTCAATATAATTGAGATGCAGGTTATCCTAATCACTAGACAATACGGCAAAGCTTTTGTATAAGAAGCATTAATGCGACGATGACGAAAATAATCACCCAGGTTTTGAAACACTAAACAATACGGAAATGGTAACATATAAAACATGCAATGGAGGCAATTATATCCTAATCACTAGACAATACGGAAAATATACAATACTCCATTTTTGTGATGCAGATCAGAGTAGATAAACAAAAGATATAAAGATTATTATATTCAATATGATTGAAACGTGGGTTATCCTAATCACTAGATAATACGGTAAAAAATATAAGATTAATGCGATGGAGACAAGACTAATTATTATATAGAACGATGGTGGAATTATGATTCCAATAAAATGTTTGAATATCCTAATCACTAGACAATACGGAAAAGGTACAATACAATATTATTACCATGGAGATCAGAGTAGATAAACAAAGAATATAAAATATCATTATATTCAATATATTTGAAATGTGGGTTATCCTAATCACAAGACAATACGGAAAAGCAAAGCTTTACTAAAAGAAACATAAATGCGACGTAGAAGAACTGATGTCCTTGCTTTGAATTTGGAAAGAGCTTCCTTTAGCAAATAATAATCAATAGACAATAACAGTACTGTGATAAAAACAATTATATGAAAAAATTATGGTGGAAATATAATTCGGAAGAATGTTTGAATGCCCTATAACTAGACAATACGAAAAATAGGTTAGATACTTCTTCATAACGCCACTCTTGACCACATGGCTATTTTTTTTAAATATTCATATTTTCATAGGGTTCACCACAAAGTAATTTAATTAATATTCCACTAACTAAGTTCCTCTCTCTTCTCTTTGAAAATAAAATTTCTGTAATCCCCCTTGGCTGACACCAAATTAGATTATACAACCACAACTTAAGTCGACCAGAACAATATGACAAGTTTTTACTTTGTAAAAGGAAACCCAATGGAAAATTTCAACCCAACAACAAACAACGTCCAAGGGATATACGACAAAATGTTTGATAACTAACATATTGTCATACTTGTATGTTCAACCTCCTCAATAGAACCCTGAGCTCTTAGCTATTTTTATATGTAGATTATAAATATAACAGTGAGGACAGCATCCTTTACCGCATGTTTCTTTATGTGTGTGTGTGTGGGTGTATATTGGTGATATATATAGAGGATATTTACAACTTATTTATATATTTTGTTGTTAATATCCTTTAGCAGCGTTGATGTGAATTTACATTGCCATCCTTGTCGTCATGGGCGTAATAAAATTAAATAAATTTCCCGTCAGTTTTATTTGCAATAAAATAGAGCAAAACATAGTAAGATAAAAAATGTAACCTTTGACCTTTTTCTCACAATTTTAAATTGTTGTCAATTCTCAGCTGATTTCTGTAAGTCAAAAGAAAACCTTTTGTCCTTCGTAAACTATACAAATATATTTCAAACCTATTATCGGTATTTCGAAAATTTAAGTCTCATGCCCATATATTGGTTTTTGTAATAACTCCCCATATAAGGCATTTTCTAACCGACTTCTCAGAGGATAAATCGATGTGGTAAAACCTTTTACAAATTCATAATTATGAAGTGAAGAAAAAGTTCGTCACGACCGAATTTTTTAACTATCTATAAATTAACGGTATCTTCAGGGATTTTATCATTGTTATATTATCAACAATACTATAAATTAATATTAACTATGACATAATTAAATTATATATCACACAATTTATCTTCATCCTAAACATAAATTACGCCTCTGGTGTTACATTTCGAGACTGATATAATTTTATTTTACTGTTGGGTATTTCGAACATATGTACATATTTCCCATTTGGGCCATCATAGCTGACTGAGTGACGGACTGACTTGCCTGGTGAGCATTCATTTTCATTATCTTACAAAGTGACGTTGTAAGAAAATGCCATCAGATTTTCTGTTAAATTTGAACATTAAATAAACAATAAGTAATGATTTTGAAAATACTACCCAGTCCCGAGTGCGTTGAATGGATGTAACGTCTGATATTCTGCCACATAAACACATGGCTAAGTAAGACAGAAAACAAGAACAACAATTCTGACATGAGTGATATGTAACAATCAAAAACTGTCAACATTAGCTGACAGTTTAGTGATGTCTAGTTTGAGTGTTAGTGTTTTTTTTTTATTGCACAAAGCTAATCAGCGGAGATATATGTTGCTTATGGGAAGCCTTCATTATAAATGAAAATCAAAAAGCAAAAGAATATCAACACAAAAACCGACTTTAATTTATTGCTTTTTGCCTCCCCGGGCACATTAGTATTAAATTTGAATTTTACACAATCTAACAAACTTGAATTATTCAAAGACTTAATTAACAAGGAAAACTTTGTTTTTGGGTTTCCATACAATGCAACCAACCATACAATGCATTGCCTTTGTGAGGCCTCCACAAGCAAGGCTACTAAATGATTCAACGAAACTTGCATTGCTTGGTAGCTTAGTAGTAGCCATGACAGCAATCTATCCTTGAACTTTTTGGCCTAACTGAATGGAATGTTTTTTTCTTTTTTTTTGGGTCTTGAAAGATTTCATAATTTATAAATGAAGAATAGAAAACTTTTTTTTGATAGGATAATACATTTTTTGAGGATTTCATTTTGTTTGTTTTTTTTCGGCAAAAGTTTTAAGCCATAATGTGGAACATTTACGATTTTTTTCAATGCTTGCATTGTATTTGGAATAATAAATTTTTAATTTACCATAATTTAGAGGTTTGCTATAATTTCAAGCAATTATTTTAATGTAGATATTACACCACATATAATGGTAAATCTAAAGTATTTTAGAGAAAAAAATCTGTTAATTCCCCAACGTATGAACTTTCCAAATACATTGTACACATCTTAAAGAACTTGACCAAGAATTCATGTTACAACATCAAAGACGCCATGGAGATGAGAAGAAGAATTAAGGATATATCAATAGAAGAAGACAAGATTTTACTATTATTTGACGTTATTTCACTATTCCACAGCAAACCCATAAATTTAGCATTGAAGACTATTACCGAAAAATGGGACTTAATAAAAGAATATACAAATATACAAAAGGACGTCTTCATAGAAATACTAACTCTTTGTATAAAAGATTCAAGATATTTCATTTATGATGACAAGGTGTATGAACAGAGAAAAGGACTACCGATGGGATCTCCAGCGTCACCGATTATTGCAGACATAGTAATGGAGGAGTTATTGGACGCTACAATGGAGAAATTGACACACAAACCAAAAGTTCTTACGAAATATGTGGACGATATTTTCTGCATTGTAAAGAGAACGGAAATAGACAACACTTTAAAAATCCTCAACTCATTTGATAAACATGTACAATTTACACACGAAATAGAAGAAAACCAAAAATTACCTTATCTTGACGCAATGATAATTCGACAAGGCCAAAAATTAACAATAGATTGGTACCAAAAACCCACTGCATCTGGACGATTAATAAATTTCTATTCTAAACACCCCAGACGCATAAAAATAAATACGGCCACAAACTTTATAAACAGGGTATTAAACATAAGCGACGGACAATTTCACCAAGCAAATGAAGAAAAGATACGATACATATTAATGAAAAATTATTTCCCATTAAAAACAATTGACGAACTACTACAATCCTGCAAGTCGAAAAATAAAGCTAAAATCGAAAAAGAAGAAAAATCGTACAAGTCACTGACATATATACCAGGACTTTCCGAGAGATTGAGCAATTCAAATATCTATGACAAAACCAATTATCAACTATCCCTAAAATCTAAAAATAATATCAATAGCCTATTTAGCAGGACAAAATCGAAAATAAAAAAAGAAGACAAGTGCAATGTAGTATATAAGATAAAATGTAACGGGGACAAAACCAACTTATGCCAAAAGGTATATGTTGGTACAACAAAAACCAAGCTAAAGACAAGACTTTCTGGTCATAAGTCAGATCAAAATACAGACAAGCCATTAGAACAAAAGACGGCTCTTGCAGCACATTGCACAATCACGGGGCATACACCAAATTTCAAAGACGTTGATATTTTGACACAAGAAAACAATTACAAACGACGATTTACTTTAGAAATGCTTAATATAATAAATGTACCACAAGAGAAGAGAATGAATTACAAGACTGACACGGACCACTGTGCACATATGTATAGAAATTTAGTTCATAAGCACAGACGAATTAGAGTTTAGTTTAGCATAGACGGTGTAACAAACCTGTAGCTTTTCTCAAAACGTAATATTTGTGTTATATTATTCTGTGAAAACCTTATTAAATAATTGTATCTTTTAGTATTTCCCTGAAGATGACTGTCGAAGACAGTCGAAATATTGGAAAATAAAAATAAGAAATCAGAAATCATAATACAGCATTTTATTTAACCTTGAGCCGAACAAAATCCAAACAAGGAAAAAAAAATAAAAAAACAGTTCTAAAGTCAACACTTGAACCAGTATTTCGATGAGGCACGTTTTCACTGTATCAAAGTGTATACACCCTCGTTAGCCATAAGGCTGAGGGTATTAATATCCATTAAAAATTACTGAAATTTGAATTTGGTTTACATAATCAGTCTGTAGAAAGGCCACTTTTTTGTATGTTTCCTATATTTTCATT